CACTAGGTACACTTGAAGCTATTACGAGTTCATCTTAGTCGATAAACGCGAATGAGACAATGAACCAGCGTCCAGGTAGGCTACCTTGAATACCAAACTGTAAAACAGAAGTCTTGGTAAGCGTAGAAGGTATATTCTACAACACCCAGCAATCACACAATACAATCAAGTACACAACTCTCGTTTATTTATACATCATAGAAAAGTCCTTTGGACAGTCACGAAAATAGCACACTAAAATACATAGCAGCTAATCACAGCCAAGAATTATCCTGGTGGAAAATGAAACTTCAAGGCCAACTGGTCGCCCAATGTTCGCAAACGTGAAATCCAAAATCGGGGCATTTATCAAGCGAGTTCTTGGGATCTAACATCCCCTGCATGTTTCCTTTTCGACCCAAGTGTATAAATACGCAATATCTGTAACATTTTATGACGCGGATACGGATCCCTAGTCTCGGATCCTGATTCTCCTTTGAACTCGGACCATGTACTTTCTGGATGCTCTCATTTACCGACTATGGTAAACTCGTAATAATTCAAGCATATCAAACTGACATATAGACGTTTATGGGTAACATACACTTAGACGAATATTGTGTCATACTATCCATCTGCAACCTTACTACTTATTACTAATGTTATTACTCTAAATTAAAATGATATTAACACCCTACTCTCGTGAAAGTTCATTCCCCTACTTGACATTCGAAATCATCTTATATCTAATCGGTAATAAAGTTAGTTATCATTTCAACCTGATTTGAGTATACCGAATTTTAGATAATATAAGTAGTTTCCAATATAAACGACTTCATCTTACCTAACATAAAATAGTCTGAAACTAGCATTCTAATTGTTGATGTAGAAAAACAATTTTAATAATTTTTGAAACCATGAATCGATCAATGTTAGACCACCATCAGCAGAAACCTGGAAGCACTTCCAGGCCGTTAGATACCGGCTCAGTGGTCTAACGGTTAGGGCGTTCGCGCACAATACCGAAGGTCTTGGGCTCGAATCCTGCGGGCTGCAGGAGTCGTGGATGCGCACTGATGAGTCCCATACCAGGACGAAACGGCCGTTCAGTGCTTCCAGGTTTCTTCTAATGGTGTAATCTAACATTGATCGATTCATGGTTTCAAAAATGTGTAAATTAACAAACTTCACAACCCCGTAATGCAAATTTTATTTTTCATAACCTACAAAAGAATGCGTGTTGAATGTTGTCAGCATATATAGATGTACAAATAAGAATATTACACAACGTTCATTGTACAATGAATGTCATTTAGACAGATGTACCACACCACATTAGACTGTGAAGAAATTTCAAAGAAAAAGCCTTTTAAATTTTTACAAAAGTTACAAATGAAAAATGAAACAAAATCCTTAGCAAAAAAACATGGCCAATGAGAGTAGAAGTTATTGGAAGGTTACTGGTTTTCGATCATAGGTGTCTACGAAGCATTGCTCGTATATCGTGGGAGACCCGAGTGAGCAACGCTGTTATTAGAAAACGGGTGCTAGGTAAGGATGGCAGATCAATCGATGAAGTGATGAAACTTCATCAGTTGAGGTGGTTGGGACATGTGTTACGTATGCCTAACCACCGACTGCCTCGTCGAGCTATGTTTTGTAGTGTAGGAATAGGTTGGAAGAAAGTTAGGGGCGGCCAAATCAAAACATGGCAGAAATCCATGAAGTCATTGACAAGTGGACTGAGTGATGTCGGTAATTGTCGACTACCTGGTTGGGGTCCGCGAGATGATAATAATCGATGGTTAGAGACCTTGAATGACATGGATCAAAATTGTTCGCAATGGTTCCAGTGCATTTATGCTTTGTGTTCTCTCAAATCCTAATCTTCTGGATTCTTCAATTTTGTAAACTTTTCCCACTGAATCATACTTCTTGAATAATATCTTCTAATCCTAACTTCTCCGATTACTTCTAATACCCTTACTACCTCTTCTACAATTGGATTTGAATTGACAATTACATGTCTGTGCTGATGTGGTATGGCAACATGAACTGATGTACTTAAGTACGAAGTTCTACATTGCATCTGACTGACTGACCGATTTTTTTATTGGAAAACTACATTTCCCCTTTGTGTTCTTTGTGGATTATCGGTATTCAAGAAATTTAACAATGAATAAAATTATTTTATGTTAGTGTATATGTTTTCAACTTAGATTGGGATATTCCAAGTGTTAAATGTTGACGATGTTAGATCCCTCTCAGAACTCACTTGATAAATATCTTTATTTTGGATTTATTTCATGGACCAATCAGTTGATCTTGAGATCACCATTTTCTACCAGGAAAATCCTTGGCTGTGATTGGTTACTGTGTCATTTTTAGTGTGTTATTTTTGTGACTGTCCCAAGAATGTCTCTATGGAGTATAAATAAACGCCATTTGAGTGCTTGGATTGATTGTGTGCTTGCTGGGTGTTTGTAGAATACAATTTCTACACTATATCAAGACTTCTTGCTGATTCAATTTAGTCAAGGGATCACAGTAGCCCATCTGGACACTGGTTCATTGTTTTGTTCTCGTTATTCGACTAAGGTGAACTCGTAATAGTTTCAAGCATACCTGGAGATGAGCGTAACTTTAAATATTCAATTTTGGTTACTTATTCTTTATTGAGATACACACATATACGTCGTTATGATGGGTTATACGAATTAGTCCTTTTATAAAATGGTTTAAGTTACAACTGTTATCCATCATGGAATATGAGTTACCGACTAGGATTCTCGAACTGAGTCCTGCCTGGACTTTCCTCTTTAATTGTTCTTCTGTGTTATTCATTCTCTTCATGTCTACATTCAATCCTCGATGCAATGTGTTCTTCGGTCTCATTTTCGTTTCCTTTGGCATTGAGGATTTCAAGTTAAGAATTGCCATGTGACACAGTCACTTGATCTCCACAATGTGTATCCTATCCACTTTCAGTGTTTCACCCTAATTTTTTCCTCAGCTGGGATCATGAATAAATCATTATTAGACTACTATTAGAAACCTGGAAGCACTGGACAACCGTTTCGTCCTGGTATGGGACTTATCAGTGACACTGAGCACCCACGACTCCTGCTACTCTTAGGATTTGAACCCAAGACCCCCGGTCTTGGGCGTGACTGCTTAACCTCTGGACCAGAAGACGCAGGATCCTTAGAGTGATTGGAGTTACATATTAATACCTTTGGATACCGGCCCAATGGTCCTAGATTCGAATCCTGCGAGTAACACCAGTGTGGATGCACACTATCAATGAGTCCTATACCAGGATGAGACGGCCATCTAGTGCTCTCAGGTCTCTAATCGTGATCTAACAGTCATCAGTGCACATGATAATATTAAGATGATGATTTTTGATCATTGGAATTAAGTGTAGACATATTCCTGTCCTCCACTTTCTGAAAATGCTCTTTCTGAGGATTTGTTCTCCAAATCTTATCAACCTACTTACTCAGTATTCTATCAAATGTCTTCCATTATATTTTCATTTTATATATATCTTGATTAAAATTGTTAATTCATCAACCGACTGTAAATATTTTACTAACATTCGACATAAGTTTATTTTTGGCTTGAAAACGTGAATTTCAAAATACCAATATTTATAACTTGATTAGTTTGTGATAGCTTTCCGTTCTCTGAGTTGGAAGTTTTTGATTGTGGAGCTTTCATCATTGTTCTTCTGCTGAACAACATCATAGTCTGTTTAGACTGAGAAAAACACTGCATAGAACAAAGTGGACGTCCACCTTCAGCTTCGCCTGAGTGAACATCAATAATTAGCAGTCAAACGTCATGATATTTCTTCCGTGATATATCAATACTTACGGATATCTATGGATATATGTTTGATTGGAACAATGTCGGAATATTGGGCAGAGTATAAAGAACAGTAGAGGATATCTAGAAGCGCTTCGCATTCAAGTCAATGAGCGATCAACCAACACATTGACATCGATCCAATTTATCAACCAATCAGAAAAATCGCAGACAACCATAGGACCAAATGCCAATCAATCAAGATTGACGCCAAATGAAAAAGCTACGAGTCATTCGTGGAAGAATTCGAATACTTCATTTCGATATGTAGTTTGTGCTGATGATGATGTTGTGTTCAGAAGAAGAACAGTGATAAAAGCTCCACAACCAACAAATCCAGCTCACCTTGAGGGTTCCGTGTGAGGGCTTGTCTTATGATGCAGTTTGGTGCCTTTCGCAGTGTCTGTCCTATTCACTTCCACCGCTTCTCCCTGATTCCCTCCTCCACTGGAATCTCATTTGTTCTCTCCCACAGTACGTTGTTGCTGATCGTGCCAGGCCAACGGATCCGAAGCATTTTGCACAGATAACTCTTAATAAATATTTTTATCTTATGGATGATGGCTTTGGTAGTTCTCCAAGTTTCCGCTCCATACAACAGAACTGTCTTGACATTTGTATTGAAAATCCTGATTTTGGTGTTGATTGATATTTGTTTGGAGTTCCAGATATTTAGCAATTGTAGAAATGCAGCTCTTACTTTTCCGATCCGCGTCCTCACATCTGCATCGGATCCACCTTTCTCGTCGATGATGCTGCCCAGATAATGTAAACGTGTCAACATCCTCCAAGGCATCTCAATCAAGAGTGATTCAATTGGCACATCATAATTTAGTCTGATCAAAATTGCCTCAACAACGTGATATTAGCCGCACACAAACTTCAGATAGAAGTGAAATGTGTAGAGAAATTCAAATACTTCACCTTTAATCTACCTGAAGTTTGTGCTAATCATGGTGTTGTTCAGTTAGAAGAACAGTTTAACAAGCATGCAACTCACAGAGAACGAAACTCTACTACAAGTTCTAAGTTTATAGGTCTATATATATATATATATATATATATATACATATGAGGTGTTCTCCAAATCATGTTATTTCCAATGACTTTTCTGATTATCTTCATAATTTTGTTCTGTTTTATTTTTACAGCAAACCGGTTTAGCAGCCCAATGTCATCATCAACCAGGTAGACGTGCATCATTGATTGAATTACAATTGGTTCATAAAGATGTGTATACCGTGTTATTCGGTAGTAATCCAGCAAGTCGATGTCGTATTGATCCAACACTTTTAGCTACTGTACGTTTATGTCGGCTGGCTTGTGGTGGAGTTGGTGTCGATTCGGATACAGCATGGCATACAGCTGGTCATACAGCACATGCAGCAAGATTAGCTGCAGGTTGTGTGATTGATTTAGCATGTCGTGTAATGCTTGGTCAATGTCCTAATGGTTTTGCTTTAGTGCGACCACCTGGACATCATGCAGAACCAGGTCAAGCAATGGGATTTTGTTATTTTAATTCAGTTGCAATAGCTGCTAAACGAGCACAATTTCTTGGTTCCACAGGATTAAGCACTGAACAAAGCAGTGTGATGTCATCTTTAACCAATACATTGTTTGATCAATCCACTTTTCTTCCATATACTATGGAATCAACAATGAAACCGAGGATTTTAATAGTAGACTGGGATATTCATCATGGAAATGGTACTCAAACAATGTTTTACACTGATCCATCTGTCCTATACATATCACTTCATAGACATGATGAAGGAGGATTTTTTCCTGGTACTGGTTCACCGGAAGAAATAGGCTCCGGGGCTGGAGAAGGATATACCATTAATATAGCATGGCCATCAGGGATAATTATGTCTGATGCAGAATATTTAGCTGCATTTCGTTTAATCATCTTACCTGTTGCTTGTGAATTTCAACCTAGTCTTATTCTAATCTCTGCAGGTTTTGATGCCGCCCCTGGTCATTCAGCTAATCTTGGTGGTTATTCTGTAAGTCCTGCTGCTTTCGGTTGGATGACACGTCTGTTATCAATGGAACATATAGCTAATTCTAAAGTTGTCCTATCCCTAGAAGGTGGTTATGATATGAATAGTCTTTGTGATTGTATAGAAGCATGTGTTAGAGCATTATTACAATCAGCTGCAGAAATTAATGAGAAAAATGCCATACCAATTAATAATGTACCTAATTTAATACCAATCAAACAATCTGAATTAGATCGTGCCCCGCATCCTTTAGCAATACAAACTTTATTAAAAGTTGCACATTTACATTCAACTTATTGGAATAGTTTCAGTAAAGAAATCGATACACAATATGCATCTATCCCTGCTAGTCGTTGGTTACCTACCCTATTTGATAATTCTATTGAAATTAAAGATTTTATTCATTCAGCAACAACAACAACAACAACAACACATCATGAACATACTTCAACAACAGCATCAACAAATATTTCAACATTGAACGCGAATAAACGTTATTTAAAACAAACATCATTAACAACTACTACTGGTGAATTGAATGTACTCCCCACTTCGGTGAATAATAATACTACAGAAAGCAATCGATACAGTAATTTTGTCATGCGACAAGCTTCTTCAATGGATGAAACCATTGAAACAGAAATGAAACCAAATTTTGCTAGACGTCGATCAGCTACAGGGATTACAGCTTCTTCTAATATGGATTCATTGTTGGCAGTAGGTGGTGGTAGTGGTGTGGATACAAATGAGACAATTACACGAATTGCATTGACACGTTTAGCTGAACTACATGTAACTACTACACAACAACCGGAATAATTGGTTGGCGGTAGAATATATGTAAAGCAGCCGCAGCAGCAGCATCATTTTGATGTGTATCATTTTGTGCGTTCAGGTTGTGATGATCTTATTATTCATATTATTATTGTTGCTGTTGTCATCGTCGGTGTTGTTGTTGTTGTTGTAATTTTATTTTGTTTTACTGCATTGAATGTGAATAGAACATACAATGAAACATTGAACATCATTTATTTCTTGTAAATAATTTTCACTAATGAAAATGAACATTCCTCGATGATTTTTAAAACTGAATCTGTACACTCATATATATATATATATATATATATATATATATATATATATATATATACATATATATATAATAAATGTATCGTATAAGTTATTATATTTTAATTTCCCGGTGCCTTAGAACATGCAAAATGATCTGTTACTTTGTTTTCTAAGAAAAAACAAAAAACAAAAAATCAATTCTACCTCCAAAAAATGACCGCTCTTGTTCAATGTTCAATACGCATTCATGTTCAATGATGACATGACTAATTGATATGATGATTGAATGGAAATCTCTCAAATTGTTCATGAATTCAATGATTATGTCTGTTTGTGTTTCTTGTTTGTTGGTTCGTTTATTTTTACTTGTTGTTTGCACGTTACATTTTATTTTTTGTTCATTTAGATAAATTATTGATGTTTCATTGTTTGTTCACACTAATCAGAAAAAAACAAGTATCAATGAACTAACTATTTGTTTGATTATTAGTTTTGTTTTGTTTTATAATTGATGAGGGCGATTTGTGTAGATTGTATTATTTTGAAGATGAATAATTCCTGGAGTTCTAGGAAGTGTCAATTCTGTCAAAAATTTCTATATGAACTATCGATTGGTTTTTCGACTAGTGAAATTCAAATGATGGATTATTTGAAGTTCGGTACTAAGAATACAAAATTCTATGTAAAATAATTACATACCTTAAAGTATGTGAACACATTTATACAGATATAAAAGAAATTATCTCTGAAATGGAAGTAAAAATTTGAAATTAACAGTTACTAATATTCAGAATAAAATTACGTTAAGCTTTACGCTGAAAATGATATCAAATGTATTTAGTTACTGAAATGTTATTAAGTAGTATAATTAAAATAAATAAAGTTTTATCAGTAGGACGAATGAAAGTATGGGGCGTAAGCAAGATTAGGAGAGATATTTATATATCTGTTGCTCAGTGTTCAGTGTGTGCTCTATGAAGTATTTTTAATTCGTTAAATTAGTCAATACCGCTTTCTAATACAGTAAACATAAAACAAATCGTTACCTGCCGTGCATGGTACGCTTATCCTAACGTAAGTTTAAGCGAACCCATGCACTGGATTTTTCCTGCTGCACACACTAATTATGAACAATAACTTACTACATTACCTCAAGAAACTATTTGATCCTAGAAAAAGTATATTAATGCACCAAACCTATAAATTTTTTGTTTGTGTAGTTGTGGTGGCCTTATATCTGCGTGTTCTTATGCTTGGTAATTAGCTCGTCTAGACGATCGTTACTAAATGGCATGTGACGGCTATAAATCAGAAGGTGAGCTCAGAATGTTGAATATATTTATTTGAGAAACACCACAAAGCGAAGCGGAGAAGCAGTGAATAAAAGGAAAGAAGCGACGTGAATCGGAGAAGGCTGTTGAGCGAACTCTAAGAGACAGATAATGGCTAAGAATATATATGCATTACGGGATTGTGAAGATTGTTAAGTTACACATTTTTAAAACCATGAATCGATCAATGCTAGACCACCATGAGAAACCTGGAAGCACTGGATGGCCGTATCGTCCTGGTATGGAACTCCTCAGCAGTGCGCATCCACGACTCCTGCACCCCGCAGGATTCGGACCCAGGACCTTCGGTATTGTACGCGAACGCCTAACCATCGGATGAGTTCCATACCAGGACGAAACGGCCTTCCAGTGCTTCCAGGTTTATAATAGTGATTTAAAATTGATCGATTCATGGTTTCGAAAATGTGTAAGGATATGTAGTCAGACAAATGTAAGACAGACATGCGACAAGCGAAATAGGCACATATAAACAAAAGCAACGAATGATTGACAAGGTCAAATGCAGACGAGGCAAGTCATGTGATCGTATGCGGACCAGACAACAGTAATAGCGAAAGGTACATTTAGGTTGTTGATGCTCAAATGGCTTGGTTAAATAAATTAATCGAAAGGGCTTAACTAAATTAGATGTAAGCGAACCCTAATATATACTGTGGAGAGTTGCATATCATCTGAAAACTACAGGGATATAGCGATATCGAATCCTAATTATATGATCCTTTGAGCTGAATAGAAACTGAAAAGATGTATACTAACCTTTGAGCATTTAGGATTCAGGGGTGGTCGGCTCTAGGACACTTGATGAAAACTTTGTCGCGTTCCCAAATTTGTACCAGATGTATTTATCTACCTCTAGCCTGAATGTATGTTTCAGATGGCCTTATTAACAACCACTAATTTTCATGGTCGGTTTAATCAGTATAGAAAATAATAGTTAAGATCCTACAAACTAGTTAGTCACTATACAGTAAGCCCACTATTCTCAGATTCAATTTATCATTCTAGCAACAAACTCAAGAGCAATTTTACCGGCCGGGACCTAAATCCTACTATGTTAGGACCGATTATGGAAAAGCAGCCTCTTAGTAGTTTAAAAACCAACTATAATTTTGTTGACCCAGTTTTACTAATGTTAACCCATTATTCTATCAGTCCATGGATTACTGCTCACACAAATTGTCTCATTATAATATTAATTGGTGTTCATAGCCAGTAGAACAGTGAATCCTACAAAGTCAGATGTATTCTCGGAAGCACGCTTAGTAGTTCCTGTCGAGTCAAGAATAGCTAAATACGATTTCGACCAAAAGAAAGACTTAGCAGTAACCTGCCCACCGATCCACTTGCATCGCTGTAGATGCATCCTTCGACATATGGTAAACGACACTTAGTAGTTCTCACCGTTCTTCTAAGGAGAGTTCTCTGTCAGGGATTAAAGTTATGAATTATTTGTTCGGGAACCCCCATCTATTTTCGTGCATTATTGCAACTTTAAAAACAAAGATGGCCGACGGTTTATCCTTTCCACAGCATTCATTCAATTGCAAACACAGGACTTGTAGAAAAGTTACTACATCTACATGAAGTCGCTTGCTAGGATATTTGAAAGCATCGTTTTAATATTGGGTGTCGTTCAGTTTCCATTCTTGAGTAGTAAATCTTCACTGAATCCAGCATCATTATTTTCCCCTCTCAAAACGTTTCCTCCTCAAGTTATCTCACAGCCTACCTCTTCGTCTTCTGAGTACGATGTGTTGTAATAGTGCTTCTACCAGTCCTTATATCATAACAACTAAGAAAACTAGTAGAGGCCTGAATTCCGAAAATCAGTTTCTTAAAAAATGGAGTTGTATTAACGCTTAAAACGTCATTCGATAGTTAACCATGGAGTAAGTTGTATAACGTGGTTTGTTACACACAAATCCCTTTACTGAGTCTCCAGAATAAAAACCGAGTTGGCACTGTCTCCCAGATTTCTACTCCTAGTAAGACTAGTACGGGAAAGAGAAAGTGAAGAATAGGCATTCTAAAAGTCAAGTGACTCAGAAAGAACACAACGGTGATAACTGTATCACTTACTCATTGCCAGTTAAAACTAGCGTCTCTGCATTGTACCGCAACTTCTCCGGTGGATAGGCTGACAGTCGCTGCAATGCTGAAGTACTTAGACAGTACTATGGACTCATGCTAAGTTGCCTCAGCAGGTAGTTCCAGTATTTTTGTTTTTAATACAGACTCATTGGGCCAACAACATTAAAAGTAGCGAAGAAAATGGCCCCATCAAATATAAAGCAATCTATACTCACTTGTAAACTTAATCCACCCAATATAAGATCGAAAAAAGCTACCTGAAAGGAGCTAATGCACCGACGAAATCACCTTCTGTTGTAAAGTCCGCAGTACATGTTAAAAGTATGAGGCGATGCGTGAGTGTATGAAATAGAAATGTCAACAATATAGCTCCCGTAACTCTAGGAATATGGGATAGTAGTGCCTCCTCGTACATTTGAGTTAGTTCATATTTAATTTGGTTAAGCCTTTTGATTAAGTTATTTACCCAGGCCATGTGCATAGCGATCACTTACATGTATGATTGGCTTTTATTATTGTATGGTTGGTGTGAGCTGGTACATTGCTTACCGCCTAAGCGAATATTCATCTTGCTTGCTTTGACGTTAACCTCTTAAGGATTTCAACGACTCAGTAATTCTCTTATGTACATATATTTACATTTCAATTTCTTTAATCCATTCACCAGTTCTCTACTCACAGGCTTGCTTGTCATTCCCTCCGTTTGTTTGTGGTTTGTGGTCTTATTGTGGTGTGTCAGATGAACGGATTCAACACTTCGTGTTCATCTTCTGATTTATAAACCGTGAAGCACTCTTTAGTAACGGTTTTCTGAACGAGAAGCATGCGAACTCTAAGAACAGGTTGGATACCGACCATCACGAAACTAGTGAGACAATGACCACCACAGGATGGCGAATCAGTTCTGAAATGTTCCCTTTCCCAATAACGTTGGAAGTTTCTCCTCATTATTATCGACATTGTAACTAGCTGACATCCGTTCTGGTAATCTGATTACTGCTGATACCCAGAAACCCTACTGCACTGACTCAAATCATAGGACCGATAAATTCATAAGTAACTGCCAACTGACTGGAATTAGTACAGTCAAGTGACTAGACTACCATCAACTGGAAACTACTTAATGACTGTAACGGTTGCGAAAGAACAAGAATTGAAGGCAAACAAATCAATCGGTTTATACTCACTCGTGAAAAAATATTGGACATTGGAAGTTGTTTCAATGCATCACAGAACACTGCTTATATCAATAAAGCCAGTTTGAGCTCGTTGCTGGGTAGCTTTATTTGCTACAGTGATGTCTCTCCCCGGGGTCGGGGAAGTAACATCCGACACAACCTTCTTATTAAAAGTGATAGAAGAATATGTAGACGGCCCACCATGGACTCAGGAATATTCAAAAAATGATGTTAGAGTTTGGTCTAAAGGCTCGGAAAATGAAAAAATCAGGGCTTTCAAAGCGACTGCACTTTTCAAGGGAGTTTCCGGATCCGAGTTATTTGATTGCATAATGGATTCTGAATATCGAAAGCAGTGGGACAAGTCAATGTTAGAAAGTTACGAACTGTGCCAAGTACACCCTCAAAGTGATATAGGGTACTATTCTCGTATGTCCATTGTTTTCTGTTAATCTTCCGTTTTCAGTTCGTTCACCTCCAGGATTAAAAAATAGGGATTTTGTTCTTCAGAGATCATGGGAAAAGTTTGATACGTATTATGTAATCGCCTGTCACTCCGTATTTCACAAGGTATGTTCTTTTGTGACTTTTTGTATACACTAACACGTACCATTTTATTATCATCTTGTGCGTTAATAGTTGGTTTTTTTTAAATGATGCGTCGCCATACTCTTCAGCGCTGTTATAAAGTAGATTAGGTAAAATACTTCTGTAATGAATACTCAGTTGATGCACAACTGTTATCAGACTTTCTATAGTTCGAAATTGCTTGGTAGTGAGATCCACGACAAGTTTTTGATTCTGTATGTGACTGATAGATTGCAATCTCTCATGTCAACAGGAAAATTTAGACAACCTCAGAAAATATAAGTCTATCTAATCTACACTTCGTTAAAATAGAAGTATAATACTATGTGAGCTAAATAATGGTTGTTATTCTTTGAGAGTTACAAGTAAAAACAAACGAGCAGCTCAGAATATTGTACTGTGAAATTATGTTCTTGTAGTAACAGACGTAAAAGGCTTTGTTTAATATAAATGAGGTACTATGATGCTAAACAAATGCCCCGTCTCGTCCCCATTTACTGTCGATTTCTTCAATTAAATTAAATGTGAACTCACTTAAAATTCATGACTGTCGTATACAAACAGAATTATCATACAATTCATATTTCTATGGTTTTCTTCAATATTGCAGCTTCAATTTTCTGGAAAGATAAAATCCTTTATTGTTTAGTAGTTCATTTAAATAGTATTCTTTAAGATAGTTTTTTGTGTGTAGCACGACGCAATAACCAATGCTATAAAGTGTAAGACTCTCATAATTACCTACGGCATAAAAACATGTCTTATAGCAATTTAGAAAGCTTTTATCACTGATGCAATCTTATTTAAAGGTAAACATCTGTAGTTGAACAAAGTTAACAGAGAATGGCTATTTCTATTCACAAATACCTTTCACCTTAAACAACATAAGGTTTCAAAGTCCAAAGTCTATGTTTTATAACTCACTCACTCACTCAGAAGCCTACAAAGTTGTCTAGTTTCTTTATGAATGAGTAATTTATTCCTGAATTTCAAGTGTCTTCACTCAAAATGTACATTTACAACTTTATTTTGTAAGATATAATAAAGAGTAGCTGATTTAAATGATTGATATTAAACTGATACCAGGTCGGAATCCGCGGGTTAGAGACTTTGAATGACATGTCTGAAAATCGTTTGCAATCTCTAATTTTCCGAGTTTCGTATGACCGTTTTTTTCTGTTTTTTTATTGACTTCTCTGGAATACACTTCAAATAATGTCTTGGATCACTAATCTTTTTGATTACCTCTTATACTTCTGCTGCCTCTACTACTATGGGATTTGAATTAACAATTCAATCTGTCTGTGCTAATGTTGTATGGAAACTGATGCACGTACGTGCCATGTTCTACGTTGTAGCTGAACTGAAACCAATCAAACTGTGATGTGTATTTACAGATAATAATGATTAGAGTTCTCATTAGTTGTATCTCCCTGTTGTCAAAAGTCATCAAAAGTAATGTTCTGGATGGAACTTCAAAACCTAGTGTTCGAGAAATGTTCTTTTAATGTTTGTTTTACAGTTAGCATCGTTGAATCTACAAAACTAAAACTTAGCACTAACGATCCTGTTAAGATGTTTTAGTGTCGATCACAGAACAAGCATATTGTAAAAAAGTTACCGCTGTGCTTAAAGTTTGCTTGTTAAAGCCAGATGTTCGTATATTACTGTGATTGTGTTATGGATTTCTCTGGAGTTTACTTTTTATACAATAGACCAACGAATAAAACTTTTAATCGTAGGATAATGAACTTTCAATATTAATGGCAAATCCTTTTGTCAGGCTTTTAACTCACACTGACTGTGGTTGCTGTCAAATCTATTGTAACTTACGGTTTTAGCCAACGTAGACCAATAAGATTATTAACAAAATTCAGAATCGTATAGGAGAGTATAACCTTCTTGAACTGATTTCTAGGAATTATAGATAACAACTCAAGTTCTGACATATCTTTAAGCGCATATCATTATCATGATCTCATAAATTTTGATCGTTTTCTTTACACTATTGCGTTTTTCAAGTCTTCTCTGTTATTACGAATACAGCATATTCAGTCAATTAGGTAAAACGTAGAACTTCGTACGTACGCACGTACAGACATCAGTTCATTTTACGATACCAAACTAGCACAGGGACACGATTGTCAATTCGAATCCCATAGTAGTAGAGGTAGTAGAAGTATTAGCAGGGTTCCCGACCGTAGCTGCTACTTTCCGGCTGTAGTTTCTACCTCTTGACCGTAGCTACTACCTTGACGTGGTGGTCGGGCTTGCTTGTCGTGATGACCCAACCTAGCTATATTGGCTAGAACATATGGTCCTGTATGTTCTACCATGCCATTCAGGTCGATTGGAGAACGATGAGACTAAAAGCAGCTACTCAAGTTCTGAGGGCGAAATATTGCTGGCTGTAGAAGGGTGTGACAGCAGTAAGGCGTTTCCCTCGGACATCCAGCATCTGCAGTATTACTGCCTTCTCACAAAGAAGGAAGTGGTTAGAAAATGTCAACCCTAAAAATGTCACACTTCATCTTAGCTCACGGGTTTCCCTTTCTGGCGGTAATGCCTTTTAAACAAGAACGTAGCTGATGCTCTAAAAACTTCTCATAAAAAAGCCGTGTGTGACCAGCATCATGCAGTTGTCCTTTGGACCCTGAGGTCACACTCCTAGGATTCTAAGATCAACCCAAATCCAACTTCTTTTTCAGGCTCCTCAGCAAACCCTTCCACGGTGTGGGCAGCCGGGAAGTGACATCCGCCCTCGTACCCATAACAGCAGGGTTCGAAGAAATTATTCAAGAAGTATATTATAGTGAAACGAACTTAAAAATAGCGAGACAGAGGTTTTGACGAATCCAGAAGATTAGGATTTGAGAGAAGACGAGGAATGGACGCACCTGCGTCATTGAAAACGCCATTTCATTCAGTGTCTCTAACCATCGACTACTGTCATCTCATGGACTCCATCTAGGTAGTCTACACTCACCAACACTACTCAATCCAGTTGTCATTGATTTCATAGATTTGTGCCACATTTTGGTTTGGCCGCCCCTAGCTTTCTTTCAGCCTACTCCTAAATCACAAATAATCGCTCTTCCAGGCAGTTGCTGGTGAGGCATACATAAAACATGGCACAACTACCTCAACTAATGAAGTTTCACAACTTCATCTATTGATCTGCCATCCTTACCTAGCAACCGTTTCCTTACAACAGCATTGCTTACTCGATAGTCCCAAGATGAACGACCAATGCTTTGGAGACACCTAAATACAGCACGTTAGACGTGTGTGGATGTCTTTCAAACGTTTAACTATCTTTAAAACAAACCATTGATCGTCTCTTAAAAAATATACTGGCAACTATGTGTTAAAGCTGGTATCGATCATGAGTAGGGCTCACTACTGTCTGCGAACCAGCATTGTTTGTGTTGTGTTCAGAATATATGTGCTCAAGTCAATGGTTTATATTCACTCAGTTTTGCTTAGTCACTTCTCTAGTTCTACCTAGCATTCCATTTGAACCGGATCCAAGCACAGCACTAGGTCTGCACCAGGTCCTAGAACACATACATTCAGACGCCCGATAATGATTTTATCCCCCGAGCTTAGAGCGGTGTTTGACTCTGTTGATCTTGAGTTTCTGTGCCAGTGTCTATCATTGAAAGGTGTACGAAAGAAGTTCACAAACCTTTTTCAGGCTACTGTTGGGATCAGAGATTATAGTGAACTGCCATCAAAAGTAATCACTTCAAGTGGTATACGTCAGAGTTGTCCATTTTTTCATTCTTATTCAACTTTGCTCTTTGAGACGATACTTTCATCATCTGAATTTTAGGGAGTTAACCTTCTACCCAGTAGATGCATTTGTTGACCTAGAATATGCTGATGATGTGGTTCTGTTCGGTGACGAAGTTGACAAAATGCAGAGTCTTCTAACCACCTTAAGTAACACTGCAAGCATATTCAGGATGCGATCCTCCATCTTGAAATAACAAAATGTTGCCTCAGGATTGACTTTTGTCGGCATCTGAACTAGTGAAAAAAAGTGAAGCATGTCGACTACTTCACTTATCAGTGCTGATAACTTGGTATCTAACGAAATCTCAGCACGGCTGCAGAAGACTCGATTGGCTTTTGCTTGCTTGTGTCCGTCGTGGCGTAGACGAGTTATCCGTCTGCTGATGAAAGGACAAGTTTGACAGACAGACAGACAGATACAACGCAGAACTTCATACATAAATACATCAGTTCAGGTTGCCATACCACATCAGCACAGAGACGTAACTGTCAGTTCAAATCCAACAGTGATAGCAATAATAGAAGTATTAGCAGCAATGGAGAAGATTAGGGAGCGAAGATTTGATTCGAGAAGTATAATTCAGTAAGATAAATTTAGAAGGAGAAAGATAGAGATTATGAGGAATTCAGAAGATTAGAATTAGAGAGAACACAAAGAGTGGATGCACCTGCACCATTGCAAACGATTTTGAGTCATGTCATTCAAGGTCTCTAACCATTGGTGAAAAGGACAAGTTTGCTGCTCAGCAGTTCTCTCCTTCCTACCAGTTATCACACTATGTTACCGAATGTCTTCAGGCGTCAGTCATAATTATCGCTAGATAGTAGCTAGTATCTCTTCCTTACAACACAACTTCATACCAACAATCATTGACCTCGCAGACTGATATCGTAACTCGTTTTTCTTGCCCCCGAATTGTTGGTTACCAGTTTTTGTTAAAAATCTATCTTCACCCATTCATCACTAATAATTAATAAAAGTAAGAATTTCAATTATCTGATTGTATTTATCGTTCATTTTGCATTTTCCTTCTCAAGGGTATTCCTGTCCGAAAACAATATATTCGTGCATTATCCCATATGAATGCTTACATTATTCGTGTACTTGGTACAGATTCCTGTGAAATGACTTATGTCACTAATTGTGATCCACGTGGTTAGTATGTAGTGTGTGTTCATGCTTGATATATTAATATGCATTTTTATCTAAATTTCTGGTTAGTTTTGTTAGCATCCTATCGTGACAACGATTGTAATTACTGACTTTGACATCAATAACTTTTTGTAAACCCCCCTATGACGGACGTATGTTGAAATGGTGTAAATCCATATTACCTGGAGAAGGGGAATTGTCGACTTTTGAGTAGGCGAAAAACATTGTCTTATTATGCAGCGGTCATACACATTTTGTTCTTAAGTTTGACATACTATGTTTCACTTTTAAAAATGGAAGAAAGTTCTTGTACAAGACTGTTAGGCACCTGTTGTCTGAGGTCGCATTTTGCGGTAAATTGTTAACAGTAGTCACAAGCTCATATATCTGTGTCAGTCTTCGATCATCGATGTCTCCGAAGCATTGCTCATGTATCCTGGGACAACCGTATAAGCAATGCTATCGTTAGGAAACGAGTTCTAGGTAGGGACGGCAAATCAATAGACGAAGTAGTGAAACTTCATCAGTTGAGGTGGTTGGGACATGTGTTACCTATGCCTAACCACTGACTGCCTCGACGAGCTATGTTTTGTGGTGTAGGAGTAGGTTGGAAGAAAGCTAGGGGTGGCCAAACCAAAACATGGCAGAAATCCATGAAGTCACTGACAAGTGGACTGAGTCATGTTGGTAGATGTCGACTACCTGGTTGGGGTTTGCGAGACGATAGTCAGCGATGGTTAGAGACCTTGAATGACATGGCTCAGAATCGTTTGCAATGGCGCAGGTGCATCCACTCTTTGTGTGCTTTTTAATTCTAACCTTCTGAATTCCTCATAATCTCTATCTTTCTCCTTCTAAATTTATCTTACTGAATTATACTTCTCGAATCAAATCTTCGCTCCCTAGTCTTCTCCATTGCTGCTAATAATTTTACTATCACTATCACTGTTGGATTTGAACTGACAGTTGCGTCTCTGTGCTGATGGGGCATGGCAACCTGAACTGATGTATTTATGTATGAAGTTCTGCGTTGTATCTGTCTGTCTGTGTTTGTCTGAATTTCCACTGTATTCAGGTGGTTGGAATATGTATGATGTATTATGACCGATCGCTGCCTACCTAGACTAACGTTTAGTTTCTAAGTTGTAAATACTTCTCTAACGTAATGGCTGGTCTTGTTTCTTTTCCAATATCTTTGAGATTTATTTTCTTAAGGGCAACCTTTCTGTCCGGAGACTTATCAGCCTTGAGTATACCGGTGAATTCCTGTTAGATAAATGACTATCTGTTAGTGTGAAATTGTTTGCGATGCACTTGTTGTCGTCTCCTACATCGAAATACTCAGTTTTCAAACAGTAGTAGTAAGCCACAAGTTTGAATCTTTCCCAACTTTGATCTGGGAAGCTAAGTAATATTATTTTATCCCTCCTATTCACAGTGGATGTTTGAATTTGTTCTTAGTTAGTGAAAAGAAACTAAAGTTTGTTAGGATAAGCTTACATTGACAAGGCTTTTAAAACTGAGAAATACTATTCGTCGTGTTTAACTGGAGTGATTGAGGGATATGTTCCAAATGTCCGAATTCCACGAATAACGATAACATTCATACTCTTTTTTGTTCGTAAACAACTATCTCTATTCGTTTGCTTCACTAACCTTGAGAGCCTCACCAGTTCTGATGAGCCAGTGTCTGACGCAAATTCAGCGCATGCTCAGAAAGTTCAGTCGGTTTTTTTCAACTTACATCAGTATTGGCGTAGACGAGATATCTGTCTGTCAACCAACTGGTGAGTTTACTGCTTAACGGTTCGCTCCATACTACTTTAAGAGTGTTAAATATGGCCATTAAGAATATGGGATGCACATAGGTTACTGGTCGCGTTCGACCGTAGGTGTCTTTGAAGCGAGGTTCGTGTATTTTGGAACCATTGAGTGAGTAAGCAATGCCTGAATCCGGAATTGAATGCCCTATCACTGCATACATCTTCGGGCGATGTTGTCTGATATAACAGTAGGTTGGAAAAATGACAGGGGCAGTCATACCAAAACATGGCACCAATTCATTAAGTCATTGACAGTTAGACTGAGCCATCTTAGTAGGTTTTTGGAAACTTTGAATCATATGGCTCGAAACTGTTTGTGACGACACATGAGGTTATGCTTAATGAGAAATGATAGCCTGAACGTATATATACACACACATGTATCAGATTCTACGTTGCATTCGACTGACTGACTGATACAAAGTTTTGACTGAATTTTATCCTTACTTAGCTAATCGTATAAGGCCGTAAGAAAGAGCAATTTGGTTTTTCGGAATTTTCACTGTGTTTTGTCGATGATTTCCAGTAATATGTAGTTTAGATTTCGATCAAATGGTCTGATACTATCGAAGCTGAGAAGAATCCACTCTCTCGAAATGCTCTCATATATTCATGCATATATAGCCACCGCCGATAAAGTCCTTCCTACTCACTGGCTTCTTGCGGCACAGGTGTTGTTTACGAAATTGAGACGGCAAGAGGTTAGTGTTTGACAGAGGTCCTAACAGTGTTAATGGATACTGTGGATCCATCTCAGGGAGTTGGAGAACTTTCATTACAACGCACTATTGCACGTAGGATCCTGAAGGAACAAATAGTATATGGATGTATTTTTGGGTTCCGGCTCGAACTGTATCTTTCTACGTTGCTTCATTGTCTTTCGAATTGGACTTTTAGGTTCAAGACTCAAAGCGTGGCTCCCTAAGAGAACCACCTTCGGTTTCGGTGTGCAGACAGTATCCTTACTCAACAAATGCAATAATTCCTGTGCTGCATAAACATATAGGTGCCCCTTTGTACCAATGTTTGTGTCCAAACAGAATAAATGGTGCTTTATCCTGTGTAACGTACGAAAAATTCAGCACCAGTTGGAACATGAATATTATTTCTGGAAAACACTGTTGACTTACAAACTATCTACACATTGTCGTCAAATATTCATTTACAATATAAGCAGGTTATTGACTGACTTCTCTCACTTTTGTTCTAGTCTTCAGAATACTATGATCTCCTGATACTCTCCTCCCTGAGCGACACTCCGCTGCATACTACTTTGTGTGCCACTTTGTGAATAGCATCCAGCACACCAGTCGTACATGTGTCGAAGTCTAAGTTTTGGATCTAAGTCAGTCAGTCAGCTAGAACGTAGAACTTCGTACGTACATGCACCAGTTCAAGTTGCCACACCGCATTAGCACAGAGACACGATTGTCAATCCAAATCCCAAAGTGATAGATGCAGCAAAAGTATTGGCGGTAATGGAGAAGATTAGGGTTCGAAGATATTATTCAAAAAGTATATCCTAGTTGAATCAATCTTTAAAAAAAAAGTCACAATCAATTCAGAGCATTAGAATTTGAGAGAAGACAATGAATCGATGCATCTGCGCCTCATAGCAAACGATTTTGACCAACCGGTTACGGTTATCTCGCAGACCACATTCTAGTAGTCTACAGCTATTAACATGGCTCAGTGCAGGCGTTAGTGACTTCATGGATTAGTTTGACCGTCCCTATTGACGAGTGGACTTAGCCATGTCGGTACTTGTCGACTACCTGGTTGGGGTCCGCAAGATGATAATAATCGATGGTTAGAGACCTTGAATGACATGGTTCAAAACCGTTCGCAATGGCGCCGGTGCATTTATTCTTTGTGTTCTCTCAAATCCTAATCTTCTGGGTTCTTCAACACCTCTAGTTTTGACTTTCTAAACTTTTCTCACTGAATCATACTTCTTGAATAATATCTTCTGATCCTAACCTCTCCGATTACCTCTAATACCTTTACTCCTTCTACTACTATTGGATCTGAATTGACAGTTACGTCTCTGTGCTGATGTGGTATGGTAACATGAAATGATGTACTTACGTACGAAGTTCTACGTTGCGTCTGACTGACTTGACCGTCCCTAGCTTCGTTCCTGCCTATTCGTACACCAGACATCTTTCCTCTAAGCACTCGGTCGTTAGACGTATTTAACACGTGTCTTAACCACGTTAACTGATCAAGACTCACTACTTCCTCAGTTGATCTGTCATCCTTACTTAGTTCCCTTCCCCTAAGCCCAACATTGCTTCCCATGTGGTTTCAAGATATACGAGCCATGCTTCGAACACACCAATGGTCAAATACCAGTAACCTAAGAATATCTTCTATTCTTAGTGACTATAGATTTGATCTCTGTTGACGTGTGTTTAGTTTGGGTTTTTTCTCCTGAGTATCGATTTCTCTCTCCTGTTTTTCCAGGCAAAATACCAATATGGGTCATTAATAAAGCTACCCAATTAATGGCACCTAGAGCAATACAAATTTTATATAAAGCATGCATGAAATATAATCATTGGAAAAAGAAAACCACTAATCCAAATTACAAGCCATGGTTGCATCCGGATCAATGCAATTTGCCATTATTATGCTGGGATGATTTAGAACAGACCACCAATTTGGGACCGATTGATGATGTGAGCGATGGTACTGCTGCCGCGGCGGCGGCGGCGGCGGCGGAGTCTGCTGCTACATTGTCATCGGCTGACGACGAGTCATCGATCCTGTTGAATAGGAGTAATAGTTTCATTGATCAAGATGAAGAACAAGACACCGAAACTGACTTGGAAGCATTCTCTGCATTGGCTGTCGACGACCAACTTCAATCGTGTGTCACTAATGCAACTTCCATTGCTACCGTGTCGAATTCTGGCTAGAGAGGAGAGAAAAGTAGTCAGTCCGATCAGTCATTTACTTGTCTGTTTGTAATGTTAATGTACTGTAATTTAAAACAATCATCATCTCAGCTGTCTGTGTGTGTGTCGGGGGAATTGGAAATTTTCCCGGGTTTTTTTTCTCTTTTACTGAAAACACGTTTGTGCTGATTGTTTGAGATTTGATTCGTGAGTGATATACATGTGTGTGGTAGTACCCGGCCAGTCAGCTAGCCAGCCAACCGCCAGCTTTGTTCTATTTTTTCTGACAAAACAGGAGGAGAGTAAACACATCAACTGCATTCTTCGCTCTGTGAAGAATGTCGAGACATGGTGATTTTGCTAGTAGTGTTTCACAGTGTAAATATTGATTGTCTGCTTGTGTATGTATGCGTGTGCTTGTGCTCTCCCTTAGATGTTGTTGTACACTACGACTTACTGTTGTATCAAAAGCTAAATGCGATTATGATTTCTTACTATTTTTTCCTGTGTAAAAAATGTCAAACCCGAGAAAAAAAACAGTTTATTTTGATAAGTTCATATTTCTTCCACAAAAATGTATTTCTGATTCATATCAATATTATGACAAGTCGAATGACAAAAAGTACGCAAACACACACGCGCGCGGAGAGAAGAAGAGAACGAGAGGAGGTGTCGGGAACAATGCCGGAACTTGTTTGTATTCCTCTCCCACTCTCTTCTGCACATTCCTTCCCTATGCCAGTTATCTTCTCTTTGCCCTGTGAACAACCTCCCTTGTGCTGTTGTTGTTGTTGTTGTTGTGGTCATGTGTGTGTGCGTGTACTGTGCATAGATTACAAAGTACTTTGTACGCGTACTATGATCGACGAACTGTATTTTTGATTTTCGTTCAATTTCCTTTTTTTTTCTCTGGTATATTTTTCTAAAAAGAAATATTTGTTTATTCCCCTCCCAACAATGATGTTTATTAATAATTGTGTTTTTTTTCTAGAGTTTTGTTTTAATTTCAATGCTGTGTTATGGCGGGATTTTTGGAATTGTATTCTTTCTCTCTCTCTCTCTGAACTCCTTCTTCTTATTTTTTGTACATTGTGTATTCATTCATTCAGTCTTTCTAATGATGTGTTGTTTGGAATGTTTGTTTGTTGATATGATAGTGTGTGAAAGGTGACAATCTACAATTTTTTTCAGAAAAAAGATAAAAATTACTGGTTCTTGTTATCGATTCAATGCTGGCCCAGTAAGTAGTAGTAGTAGTAGTAGTAAGTAGTTCAGAGAGGTTGGGTGTTCGCTCACAACACCAGAGTTGGACATTCACACTGTTGGCAGTCGGCTCGGTGTGGTCCAGAGGTTAGGTGTTTTAGGCGCAAGATCGAAGGTCCTCGGGTTCGTATCCTGTGGATGCGCACTGCTGATGAGGTCCATACCAGGACGAAACGGCCGTGTCCAGTGCTTCCAGGTCTCTAATGGTGCTCGTACAGTGGTTCTTTCATGATGTTAACTTGTGATTGTCATTATTTATCTACGTAAAACATAAACCTAAAAGTCTAGTACTTCTCCTGATTGTTAGAAGGGGTATCAGCTTCATGATTTTCAAAGGAACTCGGCTTTCACCATTACTCATCACAACTCATTTACATGACGACTTTCCAATTCTCCAGGGCTCTAAATAATTTTTTCTGATCAAAATTATATTAGCGAGTTTATTTGTTACTGAATAGTGAGGTTGATAGCTCGCCTCATATCGGATCCCCTTGCTTTATTAGGACATGAGAACGTCAGGGACTGGACCGAACAAGGACTCCAGGTGGAGTAAAATTAATCAATTCGATCTGTAAACTAAAAACCACTTCACTAACGCTGAGGTCATGAGTTTAAGATACAAATTATTTCATATCGATTAGTTGAAATTCATTTTGTCTTGATTTGAAATTTTATGCAAACACGAATAATAACATTCGATATTCTACATTTAAACCATGAATCGATCATTATTTGATCACCGTTAGAAACCTGGAAGCACTGGATACGGCTGTTTCGTCCTGGTATGAGACTTATCAACAGTGTGCATCCACAACACCATCGGATGCCTGCTCAGTGGTCCAGAGGTTATGGGTTCGAATCCTGTGAGTTGCAGGGCTCGTGGATGGGCAATAGCACTGATGAGCTAGTCCTATATCAGGATATAACGGCCGTGCTTCAATGCTTTCAGGTTTCTAATTGGTGGTCTAACAATGATTGGAGGAACATCGCAATGTTGAATCCATTCTGAATTATATTACGCTTATAGCGTTGCGCTAGAGTCCAATCCAGGTAGTTTGTGTATAGAACAGTGAAAAGACGTAATTGATCTGAAAAATCTTGTGATGTTTCTGCGCTATTCATTTCAAACAATCTGGTCACACATACTTACTTGTCAAGGCATTTTGATATGAAGATGAATAAAAGGTCAATTAAATAAAAGTTCAAATAAACATAGGGTGATAATTGTAAATAAAGGAGAGAGAACATTAACGTGATCTGAAAAGAATAAGAAGGGGTAGGAAATGTATAGCGCAAATACATCACATTTTTCAGATCAATTACGTCTTCTCACCGTTCTATCAAAATTTATAAAAGGGACTAATTGTTTTAAAAGTTTGTGTAAATAGAAGCCTGATTAATAGGTTTACCATTGCTATAATCAACAATTTGACCCATGACCAATTCAGTGGTCTGGATTTGATTATGACCGATTTGGTCTTGTGTGTTGTTATGGGTATGAGGGCGGATGTCAGTTCCCGGCTGCCCTCACTGTGGAAGGTTGTTTGTTGAAGAACCTGTAAAAGAAGGTAGACTAGTGTTTGTCTTAGAAACCTGTGAGCGGTGACTACAGAGCCCAAAAGACAACTGCTAGGAAACGAGTACTAGACAGGGATAGCAAATCGATTAAATGAAATATTGAAAATTCATCAGTTGGGATGGTTGGGACATGTGTTACGTAGGCCCAACCGCTGATTGCCTAGACGAACGGTGTTTTGTGGTTTATAGTTAAGTTGGAAGAAAGCTAGGAGCGGCCAAAACAAGACATGCCACAAATACAAGAAGTCACTGACAAGTTGAGTGAACCATGTTGGTAAGTGTAGACTATCATCTGGTTAGGGTCCGCCGATACAATAGTAACCGATGGTTAGAAACCTTGAATGACATGGCTCAAAGTCGTTTGTAGTAACTCAGGTGCATCCACTCTTTATGTTCTGTCAAATTCTAATCTTCTGAATTCCTTATCTTTCTCTTTCTATTATGGGATTTGAATTGACAATTGCATCTGTCTGTTCTAAATGTGTAGTATGACAACTTAAACTTATTATGTACTTACATATTTCTACATTGTAACTAACTGACTGATCATGTCTGGATATTGATCTATTTAAACAACTCAATGAATGACCTCTAACGCAAATGATTCTGCCATATGTATATAATAGTATGGCGATTATATTTAGTCAAGTTGTACGTTACGACCTTTCTATTTTCAGGTCGATTGACTATCTCTCTCTCTCTCTCGTTGTTTTTCCAACCATACAAATAAATAAATGAATTTTAATTCATGTTTTTTAATGTCAACATACATTATTTATTCTACAGAAAACTAATTCAATGTTCAACTCATTATTATACTAAACATGAAAAAAAATAATTAATTCACCACATTATTCTGCCTTTTCATGTCAGTCAGTCAGTATTCATTGGAGTGCATTATTACACTCTAGTGAGTCATCATCACAAATCATGCATGATAATAAACGATCGATTGGATTTTTAAATTAAATAGGATAGTCAATCAATAAATCGATTGTGTACATATTGTATAATGCATTTCAATTCAATTCAACTAGTTTGTTAGTTGCATAACGCGGTTGTGAAGATTGTTAAGTTACACATTTGTGAAACCATGAATCGATCAATGTTAGACCACCATTAGACTAAACCCGGAAGCACTGGACATGGCCGTTTCGTCCTCAGATAGGACTCCTCAGTGGCTGTGCGTATCCACGACTCCTGCACTCCGCAGGATTCGAACCTGGGACCATCGGTATTGTGCGCGAACGCCTAACCATCGAACCGCTGAGAAGGTTGGAAGAAAGCTAGGTGCGGCCAAACCAAAACATGTCAGAAATCCATGAAGTCACTAAGAAGTGGACTGAGTCATGTTGGTAGATGTAGGCTATTTGGTTGGGATCCGCGAGACGAAAGTCACCAATGGTTAGAGACGTTGAACGACATGGCTTAGAATCGTTTGGAATGGTGCAGGTGCATCCACTCTTTGTGTTCTCTCTAATTCTAACCTTCTGAATTCCTCATAATCTCTATCTTTCTCCTAAATTTATCTCACTGAATTATACTGTTCCAATCATATCTTCGCTCCCTAATCTTCTCCATTACTGCTAATACTTCTACTATCGCTATCGCTGTTGGATTTGAAGTGACAGTTGCGTCTCTGTGCTGATGGGGCATGGCAACCTGAACTGATGTACTTATGTTCGAAGTTCTGCGTTGTATTTGTCTGTCTGTCTATTTATAGTGGCTTGATAACTATGTCACTCTGTCAATGGATTTCATTACACAGTGATCCAAGATTTCGAATATTAAAAAGGAAGTTGCATAATGATCCAGGGGTTAGAAAGAAGACTAGTGAGGATGAAAATAATTTAAGGGTCAAATATATTTGAGAGATAATTCTATCCAAAGACAAATGGGTGAGGTCACGCAAAATCCGTAGATCAATCAGAGTGAGACATTAACACCGTTGGATGCCAGCCCAGTGTGGTCCGATGGTTAGGCGTTCGCGCACAATACGGAAGGTCCCGGGTTCGAATCCTGCGAGGTGCAGGAGTCCTGGATGCTCACTGCCACTGATGAGTCCCATATTAGGACGAAACGGCCGTCTTTCAGTGCTTCTAGGTTTCTAATGGTGGTCTAACGATCACTGATTGATTGATGATTTCAAATGTGTAATAATTCTATCCATTTGACACATGTGAAGAGAATGAAAAACCTGGAATAGTTCATTCATTTTTATAAATTTTGACAAAACTATGTGAAAATGTAATGTGGTCTGCAAAAATGTGATGTAATTTTCGCTAAACATTTCGAACAATCTGGTCACACTTCTATATATTTCAAGGTCAATTGAATAAAAGTTAAAAATAAACACAAGATGATAATCGTAAATGAATGAGAGAGAGAGATGGAGAAAATAATTAGCATAATATAGAAAGAGTACAGAAAACTATCATGTTACTCTAGGTCATAAACATTACCAGGGTAAATTCAAGGTTACCGCTAATTGTTCATTTACACAATAAGGAGATTTTGAATTTACGAGTAACCAAAGCTTCTAAATACCTGAGAATTCATTCTTGACGTTTTAAGAGTTGTTTCTTGATGTCAATCCTATGCCCAGTTTGGATTATGGTTTTCTGTTTTCCTACTTTTAACGTACTACTGACAAAACTTTTGTTATCGTATTTTATTATTTTTACTCTACTATCAGTACACCTCTGTCTTCCGCCTACACTACCAACTTGTACTTTTGCCTATTATGTGTGTAGTGACGTAATCTCTGTTTCATTTCATTGTGATTATTGACTCATAAATTGCCTTGATTGGTTAAACATTTTCATATAAATATTCATGTATATTAGAGAGTAAATCAGCCTGATGACGATCTAATCGAAAACAACAATATTGTTCGCTTATTATCTGTGTTGTTCTAATTGATTACATTGTCCGATTACTCCTTCGTATGTATGTATGTAATGTCCACATAAACATGTAAACGGATAAATGCGATGCGATATGACGTATTCGCTTGGGCGACAATGTTTAGACCTGTGGGGAATGATGAACTTAGTCTTCCTAGTTGTAACTAGTTAAACTGTTTAATACGTCAATTCGCTTCTGAATGACAGAAAGATGGGAACACTTTTCGTTTCACTCAAATTAATGAGAGGCTTCCGTATTAACTGACATGTTCAGTTTTTGTGTCCTACTGAAGAAGCATTTTACCGAACCTCGCTTGTGCTGCAGTGGACAAAAACTGTAGAAGTTT